ATACTTTTGGTGGCTTTCTTTACATATTACATACAATGTTAGTTGTGATTTTAATTAAATACTAAAATGGAAAAATCGTAACTTCTTATTTTAGATCCTAATAAAATCAATGCCAGTTGTTTCATTCAGTCAAAGCAAAGCTGAAATATTTGAGTCATACTTAAAATGAACTAATAAAGTAGTTGGGAAGTTTATCTTAAAATACTTATCAAATCTTCAGAGGCCCCAAAATAATTGCTCATGCAGAAATCTCTACAGCCCTCTAGCATTAGAAACCTAAAAAAAAAAAAAAAAAAAAAAAAAAAAAAAAAAAAAAAAAAAAAAAAAAAAAAAAAAACCAACCCAACCTGGATTTCAAAAGGTATTTTTGATATGGGAGATCCATTATAATATTTTATTTTCATCCTCTTCACTTATTCCTCAGAAGGTTAAAAAAAAAATCTTTGCTAATCCTGGAACAGGTATAGTTAATTCTCTCTCATTAAGACAAGTAGGAAGGAAACAATTTAAAAATGAAAAGAGAGAGAGAGAGAGAGAGAGAGAGAGAGAGAGAGAGAGAGAGAGAGAGAGAGAGAGTGAGTATGTGCTCACATGCTCATGTGTGTGAATACATGTGTGGGAGGGAATTTAATTCTGCTCAAATACCCAGCAGACCCAAAGTTTGTTCTATAAGTGATAAAGTTTGGCTGATGGAGAGGCTTGTTAAATTAGAGAAGGGAAAAAAGATGCTTGCAGAGTTAGGGATAGTTGCCAAGTAGTTTGCAAAGGGATTTTAGGTCCTTGCACTTTATTGCTTGGGATTATGTGATGTGCTTATCACAATAATTTGATTTTGTATTTTCCACTCAGGGCAATGCTTGAATCCTCTAAAGGCATTAAGCAATTTAAAATTTGCTGTCAGACATTCACACAAAGGGACCTTGAATTATCAAAAGTAGCAAAGAATCAACAGTAGCCATTTGCTCTTACATCATCATCATTATAAAAAAAATGCATGCCTTAGTGAATTGCAACACACTGCAGCATCAACTAATTCAGGAACCAGGGCTATGATTATGAATGAAAAGTTTGGTGGATCTATAGGATAATTGTTACTTAACTGCATAACATCAATCTGTCCAACAACAATCTGCACTTCTGAATTATAGCATCTTATACCAATGTGCACAATTTTTATTGGCTATAATAACAGAATCTTACAAGTCTTATTAAGCAGTTACCTCCACCTCTTCCTTATAATTAAAAATAAATAAATTAGGGAGGTGTCTGTTTGAATCACTTCCAAATATTATCTGGCTGTTCTAAACTTTAAAAAAAAATGTATCCGCTCCTGTTGCCTGGGCAACAGCTTCTGCATATGTTTATCAGGGTCATCTGAAAAGGCCAAGGAACCAGAGACCTTATTGCTGATGCACACTGAATAACAGAAAAATGAAAATACTAAAAGAAACCAGTAAGTGCTTCATTGGTTATAGAAAAGCCCTCAATGTATCAATTATGTCAAATTGTGGAATGTCCTTAAGAAAAACAGGCATCTCATAAAATCTTATTGTCCTTATGCAAAGCCTATACACAAAAGGAAGCCACAATCCAAGTGAAACACAGCAAAACAGACTCACTCAATGTCAACAAAGGAGTGAGACAAGGCTGTATATTTTTTTCCTTATTTATTCAACCAATATGCTGAATATATAAGCTATAACCCAAGAAATTTTGGCTTGAGTGGACAAGGAGATGTGCCATTTTGCTGAAGATCCTGCCCTCTGCATTGTTTTGTTTTATGCTTTTATGGTGATGTATGCCACCCAGAATCATTTGTTGAGATGGGTGGCTATAGAAATCAAAGAAACAAAGTAAAATAAATTAAATTGTTGAGGGAGGCTGGCTTGGAAGTATATGACTATGGTTTTTAAATTGGAGGAAGGTGATTTCCAATTGGTAATGGTGTCATCACTAGGGCTGAAGACACTACTCTGATAGCTGAAAATGGCAATGATATACAAGTTAAGGCAGTGATGGTGAACCTTTTAGGGACCAAGTGCTCAAACTGCAACCGAAAACCCACTTATTTATCACCAGGTGCCAGGTGGGCATGGCCCACTAGGTGGGCATGGCTGTAGTGGTCATGGCAGACTAGGTAGGTGTGCCCAAGATGGGCATGATCGCCTCGATATTGCCTGTGGGGAGGGATGCCTGTGGGAGCCAGGCAGGGTTGGGGGAGATCCAGGGGGTCTTTGGCAGGTGGGGCAGTGGACAGGAGGCTCATCCTGCAGGGTGAAGCTAAGTGAGGCAGAGCAGGGATGCCATTGTCGCAGGGTAAGCTGAGGCAGGAGCCAGGGCGGCTGCTGTCTGACACCATCAGCCCCGCACACAGAGGCCAGTGAGTGCATGAGGGCTGACAGAGCCACTCTGGGGCTCCGCGGCCCCCGGGCAGCAGTTCAGAGAAGCCACCTCTGAGCTGGACAGCCGGCCTACTGCTGAGGAGGCAATGCAATGGGTTGTGCCTGGGAAAAGGAGAGCATGCGAGGACAGGAGGCATGGGACAGGGGGAAGGGAAACCAACTGTGCTGGGATGCATCCGGCCACATGGAACCTCAACGAGTTAGCGGGTAGCTTGTTGAAGAGGGATGGTTGCCATCTCTGGGGCATGGCACGTGTGCCCACAGAGAGGGCTCTGAGTGCCGCCTCTGGCATGCGTGCCATAGGTTTGCCACCACTGAATTAAGGTAATGAGAATACTAAAATTAAATATAAAGGAGATATAACTAATGGCAATAGATACAGCAACTATCCTTACAGTCAACAAAGATAGTTGTAGATAGCTTCTGCTTTATACGATCAACCACAAACCATAAAGGAAGCAGCAATCCAGATATATGCTACAGTAGCCACAAAAGCCTTGGGAAAAGATCTGTACCTACAAAGATTATAATTATAATATTTAATATAATAATATAAAAATAATTAGTCTGTCAATAGTTTCAGAATATGGAACTGAAGGTTGAGCATTGAGAAGCAGGATGGAAAAATTATTGGTGCTTTTAAATTCTGATGGTGGAGAAGGTTGAGAATACCATGGATAGCCAAGAAAGCAAACAAATAGATATTGAGGAAATCAATTCGGATTTCTCACTCCAGGCACAAATGATCAAGCTCAAATTGTCATATTTTAGACACATGATATGAAGACCTAATGTGCAATGTGGAAAAGGCGAAAAGAAATAAATTGTGTGGACTCAATTATAGCAGTAATTATGAGTGCAGCATTAGAAAAATTGCAAAGGCCAACTTGGCAACAGATGATCCTAGAGAGGGTCTGTTCATGTGGTTCCTAATAATCCACACATCAAATAATCAAATCATTCATTATTCTGTTTGAATTTAATTTGATTTAATGGCATTAAGGCTACATTTGCATCCTATGTTATCCCATGGGAAGTAAATAATGTAGAAGCACTGCCCCAACTGAGTAGTGCAGCTATAAAACCTATCTGCATTTCAAGAATAAGCATGTCATAGGATTGCTATGTCCAGATTAATCTAAAAGATACCACAAAATCCTAGTACAGTTAATGCTGTTGTTGTTGTTAATTGCGAAGTCGTGTCCGACCCATTGCGACCCCATGGACAACGTTCCTCCAGGTCTTCCTGTCCTCTACCATCTTCTGGAGTCTATTTAAGTTCACACCTACTGTTTCAGTGACTCCATCCAGCCATCTCATTCTCTGTCGTCCCCTTCTTCTATTGCCCTCAATCTTTCCCAGCATTAGGCCCTTCTCCAGTGAGTCCTTCCTTCTCATTAGATGGCCAAAGTACAGTTAATGCAACCCCCCCCCAAAAACCCAGATGTATAAGACACTTGCCTTGGAACAAAACATGGATGAATTTAACTATCTTCTTGTGTAAAGGAGTAAATATAGTTACAACAACAAGACACACACACATACATACAGAAAAAATGGGAGCAGGTTCAGCCCTGTAGGCCTGAAAAAAAAATTAATAATCTGAAAAGAAATGCTCTACACATGCACACACACATTCAAACATACAGCTCTATACAGTAGCAAGGATGGTAACAACATGGCATGATACTGTCAGGGCAAAATGCAAGATTTAAAAATTACACTGTAATCTAATAGCCAGTTATGCGTTTTTCATCTTTATGGGAAGAAAAAAAAATCTAGGGATATTTATTACAAATCCCCATGATATTTAGCCTTTCATTTTCTAGGTTTAAGAAAGGACACATCATCATTCCCAACACCGCCCTTAAGTTTTTAAGAACACAACTAACACAGAGAGAAAAACTGCAATTATAACGTATAATTACAACCTTAGACAAGAATTCATCCTAGAGCTGTATCATGATTAGTGTTCTGTAATTTTACAAATAGATAGTTTTCTACTTTACAAATTGGTTCTATTTTTTCCAGTTCTCTGGCTTATCACTAGAACTTACCTACCCCCCCTGAGTGAGTGAAATAAGCTTTTTTAAAATAAATAAATAAATAAAAGAAGTCGAAGAAGAACATCTACATGCATACAACCCTTCTGTGAACTCTTTTCATAAAAGAGAGAAAGCTCCCTCTGTTGACATCAAAAGGGAATCAGAAACTTCCGCTTCTAATTTACCTTTTATAACAGGTTTCTCGTTCAAAAGCAAACTACTTGCTAGAATTAAGCTTCTTCCTAATAAAAAACTTAAATCCGGGCTCTGAGCAACTTGTTCTTTGGAATAAGTTGCACTTGGCACAAGAGAAGTCTGACATCTTTTGAACAATGCTGCTGTTGTATTTTCACCTACAAGTAAAACTTTCTACTGAGCTAGCATTGAAGTAACTCATCTCCTGGGAAGATTGCCCCTGTCTGCATGGTACAACATCAAGCAGAACCCAAGTATTTTACGGGAAGCATAACAGAATTTAAAATGTAAACTCTCAGCAAAAAATCAAAATAACTATGCCCTCTAATTCATGGTGTGTGTGTGTAAAATGTCTTACCTTTAGTAGCAATTCGAACACACTGAGTTTTGGTCTCCTGTTTAAAAATAAATACAGTTAGTCCAAATTTATTAGTACCACCAGTATATCATCTTTGCAAATTCTAAAACAGTACTTTAATGTGTGTTATTGTATACAAATTATAGGATGAGGAAGACGTAAGTAATATATGCTGCACCCAAATGCAAAAGCAAAATGAGATTGCACTAATCTGTCTTTACATTTTTTCCCAAGTATTACTGGATCTTCCAAGTTTGCTTGCATATTCAGGGAATGGATTTTAGCTGAGCAAAAGTGCATCTCGCTAATCTCTAGACATTGATTGAGTCTGACTAAATATATAATCTCAGCAGCAAGAAAATTCCACTCTTCTTAACTGCTAAAGAATGGAAGACGGGTAGGAGAAGGTCAACTTTTTAATTTAACCCAAGCCTTTGAATCCTGGTGACTGCCAGGAAAAGTTCCTCCAGTTTTCTTGGCAAGGTTTTCACAAGTGGGTTTCCATTGCCTCCTTCTTAAGCCTGAGAGAAAATGACTGGCCCAAGGTCACTCAGCTGGCTTTGTGTCTAAAATGGGACTAGAACTCATGGTCTTCTGGTGACTAGCGCAGAGGTAGGCAACCTTGGCTCTTTTATGACTCGTAGACTTCAACTCCCAGAATTCCTGAGCCAGCCATGCTGGCTCAGGAATTCTGAGAGTTGAAGTCTACGAGTCATAAAAGAGCCAAGGTTGCCTATCCCTGGTCTAGCCTGATGTCTTATCTACTCCACCAAACTGGTTCTTCTTGGTTGTTGAATTGAATTGTAGGATTTGAGTATCATCCTGTTGCAAAATGCAGGCCAAATACATAGGAACGACTACACAACTAATTAGGTGCAATATATAAAACCAAATACTCTATCCAATTTTACATTCCTATCAAATGTGGAACTAGATTCCTTATATTCATACTTCCATCCCCATCTAGAAATCTCTAATCCAAGTTTAAAATCTTTAATCCAAGTTTAAAATTACAAAAAAGAAGGCTCACATACCATCTAGAAAGGAATTTGTAAAACATTTTTTTTATAAAGCCCAAGTTCAGAGATAAAGAACATGTTTTATGTTCAGAGGATTCTAAGCTTAATTCCTGCTACCTCAATTGAAGGCTGGGAGGAAATCATACCATACTTGGAAACCAGTTTCACAATTCTATTTAACCAAACTATGGTTTTACTTATTTTGGCTTAGCATGCTGTGAGAACCCAACCAACTGTGCTTCATTCAATGAACCATGGCTACACATACCATTGGTTAGCATGAATATGAACCCTATCTATATATTATTAGGCATCTTTCCACACACATGTATGTTTCTGTATTGACATCAATGTGGTTTCCAAAATTTTATGTTAAGTCTTCTGTTTGTCATCTACTGATCTATCTCTCAATTGAACTTACCAGTTAATATGATCATCTCTCTCTCTCTCTCTCTCTCTCTCTCTCTCTCTCTCTCTTCCCCACCCTCTGTTTCAGAATACATCATCAATTTTATGGTCATTAATTTAAGCACATTGTAGTTTCAGGAAACTCCTCCAGCTTCAACAAGCCAGTGTAGGATGATTTTAAAAATGATGCCATTTTCCCATCTTGCCACAATATTCAGCTAATTTTTATAATTACAACATTAGGCAAGAATTCATTGTAGAGGTTTGATGGTAAAATCACTGAAGCTGAAACATCTATATTATTAATTGCAGCCAAAAGGCAAATGGCAGGGTAGGAAAATCAGTCTTTCTAAAGCAGATTAATTATTCTGAAGACTACCAATTTAACAGCAAATTCTCCCTTTCCCCCCTGATCTTTTCCCAACCATCTGCTACTGGGACATCATAAGAAGGCAACCAAAATTTTATACAAGGCCATACTTAATTTGGAAATCACAACCCAAAATATCTCGGCTACTATCCCAAATGCTATTTCTCCCTCTTCTTGTCTCATATTTTGGTTTATGAAAGAAAATGATTCAATGGCATCAGCATGGGGGTTATCTAGTCATGTTGCTTTTCACACCTACAACTGCCAGCAGTACTGAACTTCCTGTTGCTTTGTTCTTTATTGATATACATACTGAAATAGAAGGAGTGCTCAGTGGCACCAAAATTTCAAACAGTGAAGAAATTGCAGTAGCAATCTCTGGTCATACCTTCAGCATCTGCACAGCAGTCAAGTAATTTCTAACTTGTATACTGAGTTTTTGTACAAACAAGGAATAGACTTAGATCATACTTTAAATAAATGGCTTTTCAAAATGTACTTGTCAACGCTGCTAACATCAGATGTTTTTGCATTGACAACAGATGGAAATGTAGCCATCTTTTACCTTTTGCTTTTAGAGTTAGTTGATGCTGGGAGGGGGGATGGGAATGAGAGTTCAGCTAGACATAACAACACTAAATCTAGTGTGAGAAACAAAGTTATTGTAACCAGAGCTGATAAGGAATTGGCAGGCTGGAGAACTGGAGAGGAAGCCTGGCACTTGGAGCTAATTGGGGAATGTGATTTATGACTGTTAATTGGAGGAGGGAACTGTGCTTTGATACTATATGCTCAGGGGAGGGATATTCAGTCTTTGGCTTCGATTATGCTGTGCCGGTATTATACTACTCAAAATAAAGATTCTTTAAGGTAAAACAATGCCTCGAAGTTCTTTTGAAGAGTTTCATCTTTCGGAGCCATGACAGTACTCTTTATATTTGAAGTATGAAAGGGTGAAGGCTATGAAAACTTAGTAATTTTGTATTAGCCTACCAGGCAACCTAGGTTTTCTAAAACCAACTTAATATTTTGAACTGTGAAAAGAGAGATGAAGGGGATTATTTGTTTTGAAAATGAAAAATTGTAACATGGCTAATCTGATTTTACTGAAACCACTACTGTAAATATTTTTGGACAGAATATTTTCCATTGAAAATGTATGTGGAATATGTGGATTACAAGAACTGTTTTTTTTTTGTTTGTATCAGAAAGAAAGCCAGACTAAGAACTAAAATCAGAGAACAAAAAAATTCACCCTAATTGAGATTATAATTAAAATGATGCTTCTGCTGATAGATTTAAGATACTACTAAGGCAAAGGAGATTGTCAATTTAAATTGTTCCACTCTCCCCCTCCCACAGACAGATATTTGATATTCTTTCAGGCATTAGACTATCTTGGACTATATCAAAATATAAATCCAAATATTGAAATATGGACATTTTCATTGTTTTTTTAAAAAAATATTTTATAGATCTTTGGTTGTACTGAAGCTTTTCTTGTATTGCTATTAGTCCCCATGAATTACATTTCCATAAACTGTAGAATTTTTTTTATTCCATAACAAATATGGGTTATTCAGCAATAACGTTTGATGTCAAATTGTTTATCACACATGGCAGGTATTAAAGAAAAAAAGAGTCAAAATTCCCATGTTGTTTTTGGGACCTCTTTCTTGATAATTGTCTTGGTCTTACAGTACAGGAAAAACAACTGATTTAGTGTCGGACTATGGTGAAAATTGAATGAATGAATGTTTGGATCAGGGGTCTTCAAACTTGGCCCTTTTATGACTTGTGGACTTCAACTCCCAGAATTCCTCAGCCAGCCATGCTGGCTGAGGAATTCTGGGAGTTGAAGTCCACAAGTCATAAAAGGGCCAAGTTTGAAGACCCCTGGTTTGGATGAATCAATGAACAAACAAACAAACAAACAAACAAACAAACAAACAAGAAAAGTCTTTATGCCCTTACCTTTTCAACACTGCTCATGGCTTGAAAATAGATATTATACCCTTTCCGAGGCACCAAAGGTGGGTTCCAAAAGCCTTGATAAGTTCTATTGTCACCAACTGTGAAAGGTGCTGCTTCTGGAAGATTGCCAGGAGGCAATTCTGCAGCAAAATAATAGGGTGAGCCATTGCTCAGAGCATTTTGATATGTGACAGGAATCTGGTAGCAATCCATTGCACCGGTTTCTCGCTTGGTTCGATGAGGATGCAGTTCTTCAACAACAATCTGATAGGCGCTGTTCAAGATCAAGAAAGGAAGAATGCTAGAATGAATGAGTACATGATTATATAGCCATTGTGCAGCAAGCTTGGTTTAAAAAGCTGTGGTAAAGAGATGGCAAGATCGGAAATGAACCCTTTGATAAACAGAACACCCTGACTATGATTTGGCCATGCTGGTCGAGACACATCAACATGTGGACTTTGCATCGGTTCAGAACAGATCTGTATTCGTGCAATTGCATGGTCAGTGGAGGATAAATACTGAAGCAAAGGGGTGTGTGTGAATAAAGTCCATATCATCATTGTGCTCCAAGAACCTTTCATAATTACTCTGCTATTATGGATGCTAACAAATCTCTATGAAGACCCAACCTACAGAATAAGCAAAAGGAAAAAAAAAGCACTTTAGGCCCACTTGTGCAGATGACTCACTACAATAATTTCTAGAAAACACATCTAAAACTAGATGTATTAACTGACTTGGTCAATGGCACACAACAGAGTTCCCCAACCTTTTTGGATTTGCACCCTGGAAGGGGGGAGGAAATGGTTCCGCACAAGTGGCAGGGAAGTGCACATGCACATGGAGCTCCATTGCCTGCTGCTCATGCAAATGGGGTCCGCGCGCACGTGTTCACCCACTGCTTGCATAGCCTGGTTCTGAATAGCTCAAGGTCCAGTAGTGGGCTGTGGCCCAGGGGTTGGGGACCCTTAGCATAGAACATGGAAGAGATAGAGTATCTGTTTTTACCCCATAATCAACCATAAGACAAAAGAATCATAGTGGAGATTCATGGCCATTAGATTCCTGGAAGGCAAAGATATATAAACAGAATAAAATTGGAGTAAAACCAGTATTTCATTCATATATATATATATAAAATTCTGAGACTCTGCTAAATTACAGCAGTTTGTTATATGGAGTGGGAGCACGAGTTAGGATTATTTTTGTTTCTTCAAGACTAGCACAAGCTAAAGATGATTCATGGGCTGTATGTTTTTTGTTTTGTTTTTTTTTGCATTCTTGTGTTGCTAGCAGGAAAGTAGGCACAACCTGGCCTGCAGTGTTTCCTGCCTATTCCCAACATTTCAAGGTCAGCAAAATTGAAGGTGACTGCAAGTCAGCTTCAAACTGCTATGGGAGGACAGGAGAATAGAAATAATCTTGAGAACACTGAGAGTTAAAAGCTCAATGTATCTGGTGAGCTCAGGATTGGGCTTCAAGGAAACCCTTTCAACTTTAAAGGCTTTGGCATTTGAGCAGTCCAAGACTAGATTTCACATTACACAGAGTAATTTGTAATAGATTAAGCATTCTGCTTGATAATTTGCAGCATTTAAAGTTAGCGTTTCCCTTTGAAATGATAATACGGAAAGCTCAGTTTGAAGGCTCAACAGGGCAGCTCTAAGCCATGCCTGAAGCACCAAATTGCACTTGTCATGTTACACCAAGACAAAGCATGTTGACAGGCATCTCTACCTTTTGACCTTGATATGACATCTTGACTCACAACTATGCAGATCTAAAATATAAACGACATTTTGTAATACAAGCACAGATGGAGAGAAATCTGCCCACTCTCTCCAAATAGTCAGCTCCTTTCCCTATAGTTGCCACTGACAAATTGTTGGAGCAGATGGCATTCAGCCTATTTAATATTGCAATAAAAAAAAAATACACCAATATTTATTTATTTACTTATGCCAAAACTTGCCAATAGCTTCCTCTCAAAGACAGCACTTGATCATTTCTAAGAAAATGCCCATTTCAGTAGAGATCATAGTTATAATCCTTTTTTTTTCCATGCAAAAGAAAGAGGCAAAATAACTGAAACGGGACAACCAGTTCAAATGCAGTGTTCTGATCTTTTGACAGGCAGTGCCATCATTCCCAAATATGAACTTAAAACTCTCATTTCAAAGTCAGAATAACAATGTAAATTATTTCAGAATCTTTCTCCCAGCCATCTGACAAAGTGAAACATGATAAAATAAAAAGTGGCCTCTTCAAAAAGTAGGATATTTAATCCAGCACACACACACACACACACCATCAGATTGGCCGATATACATGACCAGATGTTCTGTATCCTATACTCCTAAATCATCTGCTGCCAGCTGCAAATATAAAGACTATTCATCATTTAAAGATGGGTAGAAAAAAAGCCCTCTGTGGTGGAATGGGAAGCCCTTCTGCCCCACATTTATTATCTTTGATCACTTCCACCATATCAAAGATGAAGGCTGTTCTGAGACACAGAACTAACCTCAATGTCAACAGCTTCATCTAAACATACATGCAATAGATAGGAATATGTAGGCAGGCAAGGGAGACAAATCCAGGTGTGTTCAAATTGGACAAAAGGAAAGCCTCTCAAAGAAAAAGCAGGTGGTTTACAACCCAAATCTTGAAGGGAGAATGAAAAGTACACTGTGGGGCTATACCATCTCCCATAAACTGCAGAAAGAAAGCTTGGATGTTCAAAAGACAAACAAAATGTGTGTCAAGGTAACACTGAATCAGGAAGGGACTTGTGATTTTGGGGAATTGTTTGGGTACCAAAGCTCAGCTAGCTCTGTCTCTTAGAACTTCGGGTTTTATTTCAATGAGTGTCATTAGTTAAATGCTTTAACATCCTTGAGATTTTAGAATTCTTGCTTATTGGCTATAATTTCAGGTTCTCTGCACAGGCTCAGCAATTTGTATGCTTAGTTCTTCTTTATGGATTTGGAATCTCTCGTCTTATTTCTCCTTTGAACTATTTTCTGGGAGATTATTTTAATACACTGCTTGTAATTTCAGCAATGCTATCGGAGTAATTTGTCCAATATTGTTCTTGCAAGAGGCTGTTTAACATGGAAAGGAAAGTTGTACATCTTTTTTCTTTTCTTATTTTTAATAAAACTCTATTTTATTGTTTTGACTCCTACCGGAGTGAGGTTGGTTTTGTCCAGTACACTCAAGGTTGCACTACAGTTACAGGAGGAAGCACAATACATTTTAATTTATTTTCATAATTCATGTATTCCTTGATTTGTCAGAAGAGGCTGTGGATTAGTTTATGTTCTACCCTCTGATGTTAAGTAGGAGGTATTCCCAACTGAGATAGATTGTGGTAGCACAAAATACTACAAAGCCACTGTGCCAAGGCCAAAATGAGTAAAGCTCAAACAATTTCTGGGAAAAAATAGTAGAGACTTTTCATCTTTCATCATATGAGTCTGTCTCTGGCCATTATAATCACAAAGTCAGGCAAACTTTATTTTTATTCTTCCCTCCATTAACTGGAGTTCAACTATCCAGACCTGGTTTTTAATCAAAATTTCAAGCTGGCTTCCAAACCTTGTTGTATTATTAGCCCTATGTTCTCACAGGGCTGTCTCCAAAACATTGGGATTCTGATTGATGGGGATACAGTCCTTCACAAGGCCTTGTTCAAGGTAACCTGGGATCATGAGATGGCTATTTTAATTGGTTTTTACCTTGGCTGCTGTTTATATATTTTATTTTCTTGCTGCTTTTGTTCTGAACAGCCATTAGCCTCTCAGAGTCACCACAGTGATATGGGCAGCCATCTAAACTGCCTAAATAAATAAATATTTGGTTGCAAGGCTTTGATTCCATTTCCTGCTGAGGAAGAATGAAAAAAGAACAGCACAAATGCAGACAAAATTACCAGAATCTATCTCTAGTAGATGTCAAAGAACATTCTTCTATCCATATAACTGCAAGTGTAATTCATGGAATAAGGAACAATAATTGTACCTTCAACTCACAATAACTGAGTTTTGATACATTTGCGAAAAATCCACTAATGAAAAGGTGAGAGGTAGGGAGCAACTGAGTGAAAACTGAATAGATAACAACTGCTAAATATGAATACTTAAATATGAATACTGAATATCTAAATTAGCAGGACGTAATTCAGATGATTTCCATATCTGCAATATGGAAATAATAAAGCCCTAATAGAGTTGCTGTCTCCATTTTCTCAGTTATATTCCTGTCTACAGTATCTAACTATTAATAGCAAATTGCATCACAAGCCCAGGCCATGCTATGTCTCAAAAGAATGTCAAGTAATCAATTAAAATGCTCTTAATAGAGATTGGATGTGATTATAGTTATAACTATGACCTTTCAGGGTTAATGAGCCAGAAGCAAATCTACATCACTTCAAGATTAAATTCATATATTGTTTATTTTGTTTGGGTAAAATCTACTCAAGTAGCAAAAAGCAAAGTGAGTGTGACACGGAACTGAAAAGCAGCCTGGGCAAAGGATGATAAACAAAGTGGGAAAGTTTATTCTATGAATATGTTCAGATGCCTTTCAGTGAAAAGATGTAAAATTGTCTGCACTTTGAGAATATAGCATCTAAGTTCCAAAGTTTCACCTAAACAGCTGGAGTACTCTGTTGGGAACACAGGCAACTTATTTTAGACTTTACAGACACAGCTGCTCTTATTTTTCTGAGCAGCCAACGCAACCCAACCATCAGGGCTTTTGCTCTCCAAAATACCAGGTGATCAGTAGACCTGTCAATGTCAATTTCTGTCTATTTAGAATAATTATAATTGGGGTAATGGAATGACTGTGTAGTGTGTATAAAGTTAAAAATAAATAAATAAAGTGAAATGTAAGAGGTGGGGGGGGGTAGGCTCCATAAGATTTTATTTAAGATTTAGACTTTGAGAATCTTCTGGGAACAAAAATGAATCTATGAAAGAGAGTTGGGTTCCATTTGAACTGAAATGGTGCCAGGCTACCGATAATAGCAACATCAGGAAGGTGCCGGAGCAGATTTGAAATTGATCCCTGGGGAAGCAGACTAGCGGTGGGCAGCATAGTGTTCTGAAAAGGATACTGTATAGACATTTCAGGAATTATTATAAATGATAGAACCGGTGTTGGAAATGGTTAATGGATGGTCACAGAAATCAGAAGACAAAAAGATGATGACAAGGCCAGGAAAAAGTTTGCCTCATTGGCAACTTAAAAGGGACATTAAGTATAGAAATTTCTCTCCCGGGCTAAAAATCTCCAAGCCAAGAATGGGTGGTGAAAAAGCAAAAGCAAAATCACAGATATGGTGAATAGAGGTCTGGAGGAATGGAGAGAATCTGGGTGATATGAACATTCCAATATAAGGAAGGAAATAATGTTATTAGGAAAGGTGTTGCTTTTTACACCAAAAGTATAAATAAAAAACAATGGAAGTCTGGGTTTTTCTACAGAATCATTGTAGAAGGCATTATCTGGCTACAAATATGAAATAGATCCGGGAATAAGTTAGTGGCCCTCTGATCAGAACTCTGAAGGTGATTTTGAATTATTGAAAGAAGTTTGAGGTTAACAATGGAGAACCAGGTGCAATGCTGGAGGATTGCAATTGCATTCATGTCATCTCAGTATATTCGTGCTTAAAGTATAACAAGACATTACATTTATTAAATAAATTATGTGTTCATACAAACTACATTTATTAAATAACCCAAATTACTTAAATTAGGATAATGAGTCTTTCAACTGACTAGAGAAGCTGAAACCCTGGATTTAATTCTAAATGGTGGCTGTCATTCGAGCTGACACAAATGTGTGGTGAAACCAAAAGGAAGTACTGATCATAATGCTATTCCAATAGAAGACAATGTATCTAACACAGAGTTGAACTGTTGGGTTCATGCTGCTCTCTGAGTTTGGTTGTTTTCTTGTAGATATTTCCTTACCAGGATAAATAATATTATCAGTATGAGGAAACATCAGGTTCACTGGCTATTTATATATAATAGCTTGCCCTATCAGTCTCCTAGGTTGGAAACACCATGTCTTCAGATTCTACAGTAGTTGGAGACACAAAATAAGTATGTCTTCAAATCTTGCTTAGGAATATCCCAAAATCATCTGGTTAGTCATTGTGAGAAACAAAGTGTTGGGTCTTGTTCTGTTCCTGCAGAACAAATTCTTATGTTTTTATGTTAATTTAGACAATATCAGACAATATCAAAGAAGATGGTAAATTTGATCCGGAACATGGAACAATAAAATCAATAGAATATCCATAACACTCCATTAGCAATTTTCTGACACATTTATTTATAAATCTGAAGACACTGCTTAACAGAAAGGTGAATTATTTATGCCTGTATGTCTGTATCTGTGCATACCCAGACCTATCTCATTTTTGAATAACTATTTATTCTTTACTGGCTGAGCTGAGGATTTCCAGCTTGGTAAGAAATAGCTATATATTTTATTATAAACACTGATTCATCCAGTCTCCCTTTGTATTTCGCATCTGTTGTTTGGCTTACAGCTTCAGGAGGCCATAAAAAACTACAGATTATGATATAACACTTGGCAGGCAAGACACGAGTCTGCCATGATTAGAACTGTGACTACCGCAACATGTTGTGTCTTAAGAAATGATTGACAGCACCTGCAATTTTGAATTGGATTACCAAACATCTGCTTCAAGGGTTATGTGTAGGGAGCAGGTAAGAAAGACAAGAGAACATTTGTACAGGACAGGCTGACTTTTGCAATGCACAATTTCTATTTAAATCATGACTAGAAATGAGGGAAATATATCTAAATTATATAGTCTTGTGCAATTCAATATTTTGCCTGTTGACACTGAAGTAAGGCCTGTTATATTGGAATAAAACCTTCTAAAGCATTTAACAAAGTGCAAAACAGTTACATCACAGAGACTTCAGATCATTCTTTCATTGAATTATGAAGATCTTTTGACAAAGGGATAAGTTGTATAGGAATTTTTTTTAAAAAAATGCATTAAGGTCCTAGCTATAGGGATAGCATATCCAAACAGCAAAGCAAAATAAAACAAAACATGGAAACCATCTCAAAAATAGAAATATCCCATCCCATTTGCATGATGTCATGAAAATACCTAGTCATGGTCACTTATGCCCTAGTCACCTCCTGTCTTGACTATTGTAATGCACTCTACATAGGGCTGCCCATGAAAAGTATCCAGAAGCTCTGGTTAAGTGCAAGATGCAGTGGCCCACATGGTTTTGTGTTGACTTTGGTGTGAACATATATCACCTCTCCTGCAGGTTGCCGATTTGCTTCCGGGTCCAATTCAAGGTGCTGGTTGTCACTTTTAAAACCCTTCATGGCTTGGGACAGGTTATGTGAAGGACCACCACTTGCCAGTCCCATCTACCCTATCCACTAAAGTGGGGAGACAAGGAAAGTTGCAGGTCCCATCCCCTAAAGAGATATATCTGGTGGGACCCAGAAGAAGGACCTTCTCCATGGTGGCTCCCTCCCCAGCTGGCTGAGGAATTCTGGGAGTTGCTCCACAAGTCAAGGTTGAGGATCCCTGTTGTAAGTCACCTTGATTCATCATGTATGAGTAGGCAGTAATATAAATTTTCTAAATAAAAAAATAATATCTCCTTGTCTAATTTCTAATTTCTGGTTGTCAAATATGTGTATGCATGTGTATGTGTGGCCACACAACTCTCAAAAGGTTGTCAGCTGCCGATCCAATATTTTCCCCTCCATTTTTATTACATGAGGATTTTCATGTAATTACTATTTTTACCTGATAGGTGCTCCTTTGGCTTGTGCTGGTCTCAGAAGTACAGTTATGGTTGTTGCTGTTTCATTGAGAGAGGCATCAACACCCTCATAGTCTGGTAATGTGGGAGCTGGATAAAAAAAAATGACATTGTTGATAAAAACATATATGCAGGTTTTCTACCAGCTTTTCACAGACAAAAAAATTACCTGATGGCAACTGGTGAATCAAATTGCAAATCCTAGTAAAGTATAGCATGGGCTTTAAGTTAAAAATGTATTTAGTCATGATGCTGAAAAATTGTAATATTGATTAGAATTTTCAAATTTTCTAAGCTTATTAAATGTAAAAATATTGATATTTCTTTGAATTATCTCAAATTTCTTCTGTGTGTGGAACCAATATGGAATCACTGGATTTCTTTCATGATGCTTCATACAATCAGGATTTGCTGTGGTTCACTAAAGATATAACACTCCCTTCTTTCCACATTTTTTTCATTCTATTTTTCAATCAGGGCAGTGAATGCAATTAAACTTTCTGTAGCTATAATTTAAAATTAACTGAAGCTGGTCAGGACAGAAAATAGCACTAATAGTTAATATTAGAAAAAAGAACTAGTAATGCCTTACAGCAATATAAATTAATCATTGAAAATGCGATCTTGACCTCTTCATCCTTGGGAAATAATATCATCATCTAGATTTATATCACAGGACTTATAAAAATTGGCATGAATACTACCACAATTTTTCACTTTTGTTTTACACCTTTCTATCCCATGGGGCGTGGCAGCCAAGCAGTTAAGATGCTGGGGTTGTCAACCAGAAGGTTGGCAGTTTGAGACCAGGTACCACGTGATGGAGTGAGCTTCCATTATTTTTTCCCAGCTCCTGCTACCCTAGCAGTTTGAAAGCATGTAAATAAATAGTTACCACTTCAGCAAGGAAACTACAATGAAATGTAATAGTTTGGAAAACAGGATACATGAAAACTGTAGCAGAATGTGATGTATTTTGGAGGGACATCTAATTCATTTGGGTTATATATGAAGGTAAAATAGACCATTCAGGAGCCAATCAAATCTTCAACCATTCAACTGAAATTGTTACTACTTTCTAAGCCTTGCCACAAATTGTGACAACAGCACAGTAAGTTGTCAACATTCTTAACATGGCTGGAAATCTTACTATAGTCTCAAGAGGATTTTCAAAATTATATCCAGACTTTTAAAATAATATGTTCCTCAGACTAGACACCCTGAACATTCTATTTAGAGACTTTTTTTGTACTAAAAAGGTAGTGGGTAGGGACCTGTTTGTAATAATGTACACTTAAATGTAAGTTGTCAATGTTGAGAAATAGTGCGTTAGTGGTCCCAGACAATCCATTTACTATGAAAATGCTTGTAATTTTAAAAGCTTTTGCTTTAAATTAAAGTAGTTAAAAATGAAATAGTTTCTCTCTCTCTCTCTCTCTCTCTCCATTTTAAAGAAAAAGTAACTATTTCTCACGAGAACAGATCAAATCAATTGGAATTTATTGAGAACCAATATGTTAAAGATGTTGATGGAAATAAAGTTACTCAGAGTGAACTGACCTCATTCTTATGCAGAGATACTTTAATCTGTTTTAATATTTCTTATGGTATTAAATAAGACCATTATCTTAAATTGTATATGAAAGGAAACCTGTCTGAATCAGAGCTCTACTGTCTTTTGTTTTCATTCACCAGAGGGATACAGCCCAATATTGATTCAGTTTCTCAGAACCATTACTCAAGCTACTAATTTATTATTGTCAAGACAAACTCAGTCTTTGACTTGGAACAATAAGAAAAGCAGGAGACTTTCTCAGGGAGTCACAGAACACAAACTGTTTAATTGGGAACATTTGGCAACAAGACAAAAAAAGAAAAAAACCCTGTTTTGTTGTATCCAGCTGCTTTTTGATATCTGGATGTTGATATCAAGCAATTCTCTAATCTAGAAACCAGAGTATTCTTCTAAGAGAAGATAAGCTGGCAGTAAATTAGCAGAATTAAAACCTACTTTTTTTAAAAAAAAAAAATCATGTTCTTCTATAGGTCAGTATTTAAAAGATACGGACAAATTAAACTGGTAGCTCTAAATGTGCTACAAGTCAGTAGAAGGACATGCCCAAATAAGTGCCACTGTGCAGGGCTGCCAAATAGACATAGGTGATTGGAAGGAATAGGTGGGGCACAGCTGCAGTGCCCCTGCAGTTGCAAGTATTGCTTGGCCTAGTGGGAAGGGGGGCTGAGGCTTCCTGGTGCCTGGTAGTTTTGGGTCATATTGCTGGGCCAGGCTGAGTCAGCTAAGGCAGGGGTCCCTAACCTGTGGGCCATGGCCCACTACTGGGCCATGGCCTCTTGGCCACCAGGCCACCTGAATGGCTGAACACTATGTGCACTCCCCCCACTTGCACTAGTGCTACCCTGAGCAGTTGCACTGGTGCTAGGCCTGCTCCCAGCATCACACGCACACTTGCGCTGCCCCTGTTTGAATCGCATACACGCGCATGTGGCCCAAGTTGTCCCTTCCATTCTCTCTGGTTGGGGACCTCTGGGCTAAGGCTTTGAGGAATGGCTACAGGTTTGACCCACATTGCAGCCCCCTTCAACTTGTGCACGACCTGTGCTGGGCCTCCCACTCCTGTGTGGCTGCTCTGTGCTCTTACCTGCGGCTTCTCTGGTTAACGACCCACGATTCTTGGCTATTGACTGCAACCTGGAGTGCTGGGATTGTGGTCACTAAGCGATGCAGTCTCTCATTACAACTGCATTGCTTAATGACAGAAATTTTGGTCATAAGTCAAGGAATACCTGTACCATGTTCATTTTGCTCTATTCACTTCTGGTCACTTCAGATAACACCAAAGAAGAGGCCCAGAACCTATAACTAAACTAATAATAAACTGTATGACCATCAGTTATTTGCATCAGTTTTGTATACAGAAAGTCCTTGTGCATTAGAGACTTAAGATGGGTCCTTGCGGTTGGAGCTATCGGAGTGTTTCTGCAATCACAGGATCTCAGTGGTCATTTGCGACTTTCACTGCCTGCTTGTAACAAGCAGAGTTAATGGGGGAGGCAGAAGGAGGCTGCAAATGGCAATCTTGTGACCATAGGATGCTGCAACTGCATGGCATTTGCCTAATGACAACCTACTGGACTACTGCCACTGCCTTTCTAAGTTGTGACATCTCACTTTGTGACCGTGTTGCTTAGTGACAAGGCTGCTGGTCCCAATTACCAGAAGACTATCTGTATATACAGGACAAGTTTATTTTATTTGTTGCTAGCAGACTGCAGTATGGTAAATAAAAATGATTAAAATAGTGCGTTTTCTAAAAATTGGAGAACTATCAGTTCCATTTGTGCATAACATTGTTTTTTGTATATTGGTTTTAATGAACTGGTGAATTTGGGAGATTTTTGTTCTGTTCTGTATTTTAATCTTTGCATGCCACCCAGAGTCACCTTCATCAGATAGGGGGCCACATAAATTAGTTAAAAACTAATCAAACCAAAGCAGACTAGCACCAGTTCCTACAATTCCTTCAATGTAAAGTATACTGGGCTGCATTCTAATATATAACATAGCAAAAATAAGTCGATGTAACTGCATAGTAGATTTTAGACAACCATTTGCCAGGTTTTATGACAATCTTGATAATTCAGTATAAATTTTAAACAGTTTATACCTTCACTGATTTAAATAAGTGCGTCCATAAATACACATAGCCTTCTTTCTTGATGCCTATTTATCATTACCCACTTACTATATTCATGTTTGCAGCCACTCCTGTATGCCTTCGATGTCTTCCTTACATGGAATTGGTTTCAATTGAAGAAAGGCGATTTAATATGATAAATTTTCCATGTTTGTCCTTACCTGAAATATTGGTAGTTACATTGATGGCTGTAGCTGGTCCAAAACCTTTGACAGTGCTGGCTCTTATATAAAACTGATAGGTAGTCCCGGGATGTAGATAGGGGAACACATGATGTGTACTGTTCCATAATTTTGACACTGTTTGAGGTGGCCCAGCCACTGGAACTGCAGGATCAAAGGATCGTATACTGGTGTAACTGACCTGTGGAAATTATGTCAAGTGTTTAGTGGAACTCCAAGCCTGGTTAGCACATTGCTAAGAATTAGTTTCCAAGTTTTCTTTAAATAATGTTACACTTTAGTCTTTGAATTTCCCATTTTCTTTGAATTCCTATAGTGACATACAAGTATAAGTATTACTGATCCCTAGGACTACAAAATATGACTGGTGGGCCACAAATTATACAAACAGCTGTGATTTGTACAATGCTAAACAGGTTTGTTTGTGTGTTTATTTATTTATTTATTTTGTAGCTTATTACCACATCTCCTCTTTTCTTTCTAATTAACCTACACATACGGAAGCTGTGTGATATTTGCTTATTTAAGTATTTATACTGAATATACAGTGTATACACTGAACTCTTCCTATAAGTGTTTTTACTGAAGAACCAGCAATTAAAAGTACCCATTAAAATACAACAAAAATTAAATCATGGGAATATATGATTGAGGCATTTAAGTGCTTCCGATAGATATTTAGTTTGTTTTAACGAGAAATGTGATATTGACAAGACTGCCTATTTCTAAAAAACAACAGATACATAATAAATTGGATGCCAAATTATTTTTCTCCTTCATTCCTCAAGGGCTCATTCGTCAAATATATGATTTTTTTTAAAAAAAATCAGTATTTGCATTTCAAGTTTCCAGGAGAGAAAACCTTGAAGTCTAGAAATATCTCATATCTATTAATAATTCTCACACATATTATCTGTAGCCTTCATTGAACAGGGTTCCATTAAATCATGATTTTTGAAGGCTATATATTAATGCTACCAGATCTAAGTTGCATATTTAAGTCCTAGATTTTATCATTTATTACAAGCTCACTGGCAATGTATTGGCGAAAACAAGACTTCATTATTATGCAATTTTAGCCTGTATTTTTCGTTTTTATTCTAAGAGTTCTATCCAGTCTGTGACTGAAGCAAAAGATTATTAACAGTATATGCTAATTTAAGGATTAATTCACAGATTTATCATTGGGGTAGGATGTGTGTTTGTTAAAAGTGATATGCTGTTCCTTAAATTGAAAAATGGACATTATTATTATTATTATTATTATTATTATTATTATTATTATTATTATTATTATTGATCATCGCACAGTCAGCTAGATGTTCAGACTGGATTTCGCATTTTTGTCTACCTATCGAGTCCTTACCAAGGACCTGGGATAGGCAGATGTGGATGTTTGATGGTATTACAGATATTGTCGCAGGATGGAAGCAGTTCCTAGTAAGGCTGCCTTTTGCAATTGACTAATGGTGAATTTGTCAATGCCAATGGTGTCCAAGTGGTGCTCCAGTTATTATTAATAATAATAACAACAACAACAACAGTTGGAAGGGACCCTGAAGGTCTTCTAGTCCAACCCCCCAGTCAGGCAGGAAACCCTATACCATTTCAGACAAATGGTAGTCCAGTCTCTTCTTAAAAACTTCCAGTGTTGGAGCATTCACAACTTCTGGAGGCAGGCTGTTCCACTGATTAATTGTTCTAACTGTCAGAAAATTTTTCCTTAGTTCTAGTGCTTCTTAGTGCTTCTCTCCTTGATTAGTTTCCATCTGTTGCTTTTTGTCCTGCCTTCAGATGCTTTGGCGAATAGCATGACTCCCTCTTCTTTGTGGTAACCCGAGATATTGGAACACTGCTATCATGTCATTCCTCGTCCTTCTCTTTATTAAACTAGATGCCCAATTCCAGCAACCATTCCTTATGTGTTTATGTGACCCCGATACTTTTATATGGTTTAATATATTCATGTAGAGGCAAGGATACATGTAGAGGCAAGGATACATCATAACATAATTCTCTTCCACCCTTTGTACCTCAAAGTAACATAAGTTGAGTCACTTGACAGTGAGATTGGCGGCATATAAATTTAATAAATAGGTTTTCTGAACAGGAGAGACTGCCCATGAGCCTTTCTGAGTAGATATGCTCCAACATGCTGTTTTTTACAACACTTTTAACAGCATGGAAATGGTTTCTGCCACATGTTGTTTAGCTGCAGGCTGATCAGTGAGCAGTGAGACCACCCCACAAGGCAGCCAGGGACCCTAGGAAGTAACAGCTCATTTACTAGAAGTAGACTGAAAAGAAGGTGCTAGCATAGCTTTTTTTTTTCATTTGAACAATTTTACATTGCTTTTCTGATATACTGGGATCAATTTAGAATATTTAGAGTGCTTCTGATCAGGGATATATTTCAAACCAATGCACACAGTATAATAATGCATTCTGATTAAGCAGATGATCTACTGATCTATTAAGATCTTGATGATAGCAAAAAAAAAAAAAAAATCCTTGGGGATCTCATAGCCTATATCCAGAATCCAGATAAAAATGCCATCTGTAGTTTAGTTTTCTTCCCCCCCCCAAAAAAAATAAACTCATGTGGTTTTTTTTTTTGCCCAATTAAGCAAAAAATAATAATAATAATTCTTTTAGCTCCTTTTAATAACTTTGTTCTTATTTATGGTTTATATTATGTTTGTTGTAAATGCTCAGAGTCATTTAGGTGAGATGGCAGGGTAGAAATATGATTAATGAAAATAAATGAATAAACAAATACCTCATATTGGGTGATGATACCATTTGGGTCCATTGGTTCTTTCCAATTTAAGAAGATCTTGTCTTCAAAGGGAGTTCCTTTTAATGATTTTGTAGGCACAGGGCCAGGCACTGCAAAAATAAAATTAATAATATACAATATTACAATTCATTTATTTATATTCTGCATGCTACTAGTTTAACTAGCCTGTGGCTGCTGAATACTGCATTAAATATATTTGTTTATGTATGAGAATAACAGCCAAGAAAATAAATTTTAAATTATTCTGTATTTCAGTTCTATAAGGCATCTATATTAAAACAACTCACAGCTCTTTGAGATTATCAATAGATAATCTCAGAAGAACTGTACATTCAAAAACATTGAGGTGGGCCACAATTTGCTTTTATTTAAAAACCTAAATCTATATTCAAATAGCTTTTTAAATTATTTTTCCTTGTGCTTTAATCTAAGGTACACAAATTCACGTACAACATTTCCTACAGGTTTTCAAAACATGTAGCAATTTTATAGAAGCAAAAAATGAGTTAGTGGATAACAGAAAATATTATGCAATATGCCTGCAGCATTAAGAAATGTCAGGAAGTCCTTTACTGGCATCAGATTTATTTCAGATTGCGTGAAAGTAAAAATAAGTTGCCCTTTAGGCATCCGATGTAATTTGATAAATTAAAAATAAATTCACAATGTAAAGCTATCATGGGTATACAAATGAAATTTGGAACTCTCATCTTTTGTGAAATACATCCATCCATAAGTCCATTTCAGACTGCTGTTCTTTGCCTCCCAAAGCTGACAAAAATATCACCTCAGATCATAATTGATGTGCCTTGACAGTCCTTCTCGGCTGTACTATGACTCTTGCTGAATTCCTGCAGGTATTCATTTGCTTTTTATGGGAATTCTATTTGTTTCTCTTTACTACAATTCAAAGGAAACTTGGATTTCAAGGCATATATTTTGGCCCAAGTTGGTAGATTTCTTTTGATCAGGGGTCTTCAAACTTGGCCCTTTTATGACTTGTGCACTTCAACTCCCAGAATTCCTCAGCCAGGCACGCTGGCTGAAGAATTCTGGGAGTTGAAGTCCACAAGTCACAAAAGGGCCAAATTTAAAGACCCCTGCTTTTGATCAATAACTGCACTGTAATATACCTATTTATATGCAACGTTGGATCATTTGTTACAAATTTAGCCACCAAGGCAGCACATTCAGGACTTTGGGACTGGATATAAAATCAAAGGATTGGGAATCATCACTGTGCAGTGAGAATGAAATTAGAATCCAGCAGTGAAGCAAAAACTGGTTATCATGCAAATTAACATTTGAAATCCATCTTCACAGCCAATCTCATTTTTGGTTCCATTGCCTTGCTGGTGTACTTAGGAGCTTAATTGCACTGCATTAACAAAAAGCAGTAACTTGGAAGAATCCATTACAGATAGTCCTTGACTTATTGACAACTGAGCCTGAAATTTCTGTTGCTAAGCGAGAATTTTGCCCCCTTTTACAAACTTTGCCACAGTTGTTAAGTGAATCACTGCAGTTGTTAAGTTAGTAACATGTTTGTTAAGTGAATCTGGCTTCCCCATTGATTTTGTTTGTCAGAAGGTCACAAAAAGTGATCACAGGAGACCCGGAACACATGACCATGGCAATAGCGCAACAGTCATAAGTATGAAAAATGTTCATATGTCATTTTTTTCACTGCCATTAAACCTACAGCAGGGGTAGGCAACCTTGGCTCTTTTATGACTCATGGACTTCAACTGCCAGAATTCCTGAGCCAGCCATAAAAGAGCCAAGGTTGCCTATCCCTGGCCTGGTGCTTAGCAGAATATTTAGGTATATTCAGCTACAGGTAGCCCCTGACTTAGACCACAATTGGGATCAGAATCTCCCTTGTTAAGCCAGTTAAGCATTGATCGCTCAGGAATTCTGGGAGTTGAAGTCCACGAGTCATAAAAGAGCCAAGGTTGCCTACCCCTAACCTAGAGCAATAAATAGGAATAGAATGAGGAAATGGGGACAGTTGGGGACAGATTTAAGGCACACCTCATACTGAACACAGATTTAAGGCACACCTCATATTGTTACTTAGAATGCTTTTGAGAATGCAGGTCTAGAAATGGGGAATGCTTGTTTTTGGTTCTTTTAGTTTAGGTCAGTGTTTTACAAGCTTGGCAACTTTGAGACATGTGGCCTTCAAATCCCAGAATTCCCCAGTCAGTATTGGTTTAGGTTACACCAGGACATCTGCTGAGAGGCAGAAAAATGGCCAGGAAAAAATATAAACAAACAATAAAGCCAGTGAAAAATGAAACTTGACTCCTCTGAATGAGGCTTGGCTTATACCCAAACTGCTTATTTCTGCCTTTATAAAACTGAATAAAAGAGAAAGATCTGCAAATTATGAGGTCTTGTTTTGTCTCCATCAGATTTTGAAGTAGTGTTCGTGCATCTTCTGTGACAATATTGCTTCAGTTCTCTGTCTCCTCTACTGAAGAGTCATTATTTTATACATCTGGATTCAACTACAGCAAATTATTCACAGAAATATGCTAGATGAAAGTATGAGGCTGTCAGAAGAGCATTTGAAAACCCAAGTGTGCAAATATATGAAGTTCCACATTTGTATTACAAAATTTGTAGGTATATAAATCAGAGGTTTTTAAGTAGCTGGAGTTGGCAATGCTAGGACTGCAGATCATTTATGTACTTCCCCATATTTCCACATTTCTTCATATGAATATGGGGAAAAGAATTTGCAGCTGGCTCATATTCTATCTTTTGACATTCAAATATTTTGCTAGTGAAAATGAAAAGGATGGAAAACAGCACAACAGTACAGGGTAGATGCACCTTTCTTTACTATAAGCTGTGAGGCATAAATAATAGATACAGATAGGTAAATGCAAAGTAGCCTCAAGCCACAAAGTACATTAAGAGAAAAGAAATTGGAAGAATGCAGACACATAATTTTAAAGACATTTTGATCCTGTACCCAGGAGATTAACTGAGAGCTAGTATAGTATATGGTTAAATTGCTGGATTAGATGCACAGAGAGCCATTTCTGGTCTTCCCTTAGGCACAGTAGCCACTGTGTTTCTTTGGGCCAGTCATTCTCTCTCAGCCTTAATCATTGTCAGACTCTGTGACAAACCGGCTGAAAAACAAAGCCCTTCATTGCATCATGCATTGATAGTTTTACTGTGACAACTAGGTGAGCACAATGTGAAACAAATGGACCCTATATAAGCAGGATAAATGCTATGAACCATCCAGGAGATGAACTGTCAGATGCATCCATCTTTATATATAGTCACTTGTTTGTGAACCAGAGTTCACAAACAAGTATGTCCATTGTCAAACTTCTCAGGTACCAACAATCCAAGGACTTGAACCATGTCTGCCATTCATCTCATGTACAAAATGAATAGTTCATAGCTTTGAAGCAACTGTTTCTGTTTTGCATTGCATAGCTTATTCATGTTTTTGATTCTTTTTAATCAATCTCTGCTCATAGAGGTTTTGAAAAGGACACATTTGATTGCACTTTAGGCATGCAATGAGTTCAAATCCTCCATCATCCCTCACTCACACAGACACAAACATAAGTGTTTTAGTTTCATTTCCCAATAATGTTGCACTTGCTCTGCCCGAGGAAGTCACTGAAAGTCAATCATACTATAGAAGAGCAGGGGAATCAGTTAGAATGAGGGGCAATGATCATCATCCCTCACTGTTACTGATTATTTGTTCTGATCAGTTTGGGAGCTGGGATATTATTAGCATGTTACTTCCTCCATGAAATTCAGTGACCTTAAAAACACTACATACCGTATTTTTCCATGTATAAGACACTATTTTTTCCTGCGAACACCCTGTTCAAAAATCAGGTACGTCTTATACAAGTGCAGCGTCTTTTATATGAAAAAATAATGGTAACCTCCACAGCCCAGGGCATGCCTGTGTGGGTTCTTTACATGCCGCTGCGATTCCACCTGGTGCAGGTGTAAAGCCCCTGTGGGCTTGCCACTAACGGGAGGGGGGGATGGGGCAAGTTCATCAGATGGTGGCCTCCAGAGGCAGCGGATGGGACCAGCAGCATAGATGGCAGCAACAGCCCTTTCCTCCTTGTACCTGTATGCTGGCCAGGGACCCCGTGGAACGCAGTTGCGAGGCCATCCTGCTCAATAATAACAGCTGGCTGAACTTCCAGATTTGCTGGCTCAGTTGTTCGGTGCAGAGAAACGGTGGGGGGTTTAAAACCTGCCTTCTCTTCCCTTGCCTTACTGTCATGCCGGTGCTCATGCCGGTTTGTTTACCAGGATCGTAAGGCTGCTTCTGTGAACTGACTATGCATGCTCATCGTGCCAGATGCTGGTTAGGTGGGTGGGGCCGGCTGAGAGGCATCTATTTAGAGCACTGGGAGGCGGTTGCTCCCAGCGCTGACTTTGTTTGCTGTAAGCTTGGAACTCGCATGCCACAGCATCTTATACAAGGGTGTATCTTATACACGGAAAAATACGTTATCAACAGGCTCAGCACAGGGAAGGGGGTGGTTCCATGTGAGCGTCTGGCGCACATGCACACCTGAGCACAGCTCCATTTGTGTGAATGTGCGCTCCTCTGCTGCTTGTGCAGCCCAGTTCTGAATGGGCCATGGCCCAATAGTGGGCCATGGCTTGAGAGTTGGGGACCCCTGCTATATATGACAACACATGTGGAATAAACCAAAAGTGACCCAAATGGAAGTATGTTTCTGAATATATTTCAGTGGCTTATCTCAGAACAATGGTCTACTTTCTCCCAGTTGAATGACTGTCACTCACTTTCAGTTAATAAAAGTAAAATAGTACTTTCTGGGGATTTTGAAATTATTTTATGATACTTTATTATTAATATAAAACCATTTTATTGAAGTACGACATTCCAGTTAAGAATAGAAGCCCTTCCCGGTTCAGATCAGAATAATCTAACTCTACTTGTTTCCATAGTGGCCAACCAGAAATCCAGAGAAAGTATTAAAGAGAATATGAGTTACTGGGCCACTCTGTTTCTTTTCCCCCGAATAATTGATAATGATAAACATGCTGCTGCATTGATGCAGGATGTAGCACTTAGCTATCAGTCAATACTGACTACTGGCAGTATTTATGATGTTGTCTAGCTTGCTTTAATCGCATAAACTGTGGCTTCACAAAGCAACATACTGCATGGATCATGAACCCTGAAATACATATGAAAGTTATTTTATTTTATTTTAATTTCAGTCCAGATTTACAAATTATATATGCTCACCTGTCCATATTCTCCATCCCTCTGGCTTACCTGTATACCATATCAAATCATGGGGGGAGATCAATAATTGTATAAGTTTCCAGTCAGACAAACTATACTTTAGAGCTGCTTTCTTTTCTGTTATGTTAAGATTTCTAGGTAGTTTTGGCTTCTGGAAGTTGTATACCAAAGATTTACTGAACCAGACATTGCTGTAAATCACAATCAATGCATTTCACGGTTTATTTGTGGTTTTCAACTTTTCAAATCCCGATTTGTCTCTCCGGACACTACATTAATTTTAGTTGAAATCCCTTGATGTTTAAGTTTCTGGAATTTATTTCAAGAAAGCATTTCTACTGCCCTTCTCTGCTGATGTTAATAAGATTTTCACAGAGGTATATAATGTGAAAATCTGTGCACAACTTTTTAATATGCATATTTGCAATGTGAATATGTAGCTAGTTACAAATCTACTATATGCAATTAAGCTACTTTCATATATTATCATTTCCATCTAATTAGGAATGTTTAATTTTGTTTTAATTTGCTTGAAATTAAGATTCATAAAGATAATCACTAATGAGCTTTGTAAACATTTAAAGCATCCTTTATTTCTCCTCAAATATGATAAATAAAGCTATATTGTAAGCAGAATTAAATGAAGATTATTTTAAGTCAGCAATCTCAGTGCATGCAGTTATAATTATTGAGGTAGTAGAATAACATAAAAATATATGCAGGTAGCCTCACTTAACAATCACTCCTTCAGTGGCCATTCAAAGTTACAAGAGTACAAAATGAGGAGACTCACAACTACTCCTTGAAGTTGTGGCTTTCACAGCATCCCTGGGGTCATGTGTTTGTGATTGCATGCTTGGCAACTAGCATGCAGTTATCATGGTCCCAGCAATGGGCTGGGATATGATTGTCATTTGCAACCTTCAGTGCAGCTTCCAACAAGCAAAGTCAATCAGAAAATGGTAGGAGCTGCAGTTATGTGATGTTGTGCTAACCACCACAGATTTACTTAACAACAGCAACTGTAGTTATGGTAGGGTCATGTGATTTTGAGCTTTAGGATTACATCACTTTAAAAGAAAGGAGTTTTAAAAAACTAGATTCCCCAAATGACATTTTTTTTAAAAAAAATTCACAGGGTATTTGAAACATGGAAAACTAATGGTGGGAGAGCCACACATCACAGTAACCATGCTAAGGAACAAAACTGAACATACCATCTTCATCCGTTTGAATAATGGTCTCCTCGCTCTCTTTCCGTCCTTCAGGGTTTGTCAAAATCATTTTGAGGCTCACATTTGTGTAAGGAGGCAGGTGATTCACAACATGCTGCGGTGCTTTGGGATCCATGTCCAAGCAGTCAGCCTTGCTTTCATTATGGCCACGGAAATAATGGTAGCAGATGGTCACATTGAAGGTATGGCAGCGAGTGATGTTGTAACCTAGGGATTCCCAATCCACGGCAATACGACGTGCCTGGATTTCGGCAATTTTTAAAGTCTTGGGTGTTCTCATAGGCTCTAAAAATACAGAATATAACATTGTCACATTAACAACACACAAAATTTCGGGCCACAGAATTCATGTATAAAATGGAATCTCAAATATGTGTTTGCTTGTTATCTCACTTATCTCTACCTATCTCATTCAATCATTCAATCACTCTAGGAGGCTCACAACAATCCATAGAAACATAATTAAAAACCTACTCTTCCCTCCAGGCACCAGATGAAACATCCTTACAGTTCAACCTCCCCTCCCTAGCCCAATGCTTTGGAGAAGATCTAGGTCTCTGCAGTTCTCCAGAAAGTTTAAAGTGTAGGGACCCCTCAGATTTATAGTGGGAGGCTGCTTCAAAGGACTCGGATGGCCACCAACAAGGTGCACCTCCAAGGTCCCATTCAAGGAAAGGGACCTGGAGGGCACCCACGTAATAACCTAGTAATATGGGCAGATTCCCTTAGGGAGAATCAAAAACCTGGCTCTGTGCAACCTAGGACTTTAAAGATGGTAAAGCACCTTGAAAAAAGGTAAAAAGCAACTAGAAGCCAGTGCAGCTCATACAGCAGTGGTATTCCTTAGATGATACATAGGACACCCAAAACTGCTTATGCTGCTGCATTCTAAATGAGTTGCAGTTTCTGCATGATTTTCAGGGACAGCTGCATGCAGAGTGCATTGCTGTAATCCAAACAGCAAGTATCTAAAGCACGAAGGCTTCCCAATCCAGGAATGAGTGCAATTGGTGCACCGTCTGTTCCAGTCCCAAGTCTTGGAAGGAAGACAATGGAGACTGACAGTATTGCCGCTAAGCCATGCAGTCAGTAAAGTGATAGTCACATGATTTAGTTCCATGCCTGTGGCCACTATTCACCAAAGTGCTTGAATCTTCTGCAACCCCTGAGATCCTCACCACCAGGATGAGGTGGTGAGGACAATAAACATAATGAATGCAGGATTTATCAAATCTACTATATTAAATGATAGTTGCCCCCTTTTTTTCCAATACAAAATAAATAATTTCCACGGAACATTTTATTTTTCAGTTCTTGTATTCACATACTGAAATCTGATCTACATGCCTTCTACTGGTACTTGGAGGTCTACAAGATGGCCATTGTGCAAACTTAAATTTCCCTTGTCTCAAAAGTTTCATTCCTTTCCTGTCCCTTCTGTATAAGTTCTTAATAACATCCATGAGTGTCTCAAAAGTTTCATTCCTTTCCTGTCCCTTCTGTATAAGTTCTTAATAACATTCATGAGTGTTAAAAATGAAATGTTTAATTAGCAGACATTTTTGACTAATTAAGAATATTTGGAAAGACTGACAGAAGACTGACCAAGAGCCACCAAAGACTGCCAACAGCTGTTGAAATGCTTCTTTATTTTGTGATTTCCTCGGGCACACATAAAAGTTGAGCAAATTGGATAATCCATCATCCTGGTGAAGAGACAACGTGCTCCTAACTGTGATTTATCATGCCACCAAGCTATGCTGTTTACTAATTACACTAATTGCTCTACTAAGCTAGCAGTAACCAAAATGATACAGATATTAATTAAAATTTATGACTTGGGTACCTTTGCTATTCATCCACAGCAAAAAGCTGAAAAACTAAAGTAGAAAATCACTTTGAAATAGCTAACATCAGACCCCTTCCTTGATTCCCCAAATAAACTAACAAGGTATTTAAACTGGTAAAATATGCACCATCACCCAAGCTTGATTGATTGCATGTACATAGGTCTCAATTCTGTTAGAAAACATCAGAGTTACTTGTTTTACTGCCTGGGCAGCCATCAATCTTTCATCATCTCCCCAGTCTGTTTATCCCTCATGCAAGACTAACTTTATAGTCTGACTTAATTAAAGTGACTGCAAAATGAGAGTCATGACCATGAGTACACATACTGGAGCCACTTTTAAAAGTCTATACTCCACTACATTTATTTACATTAGTAAAATTATGATTTCTTGACACTAATCTCAGACTCAGGATGACAGATTCAGACATAATTTGAATATTCACTATATACGTGTCCTTACAAATAGACAAACACACACACATATATTCATTCACAAATTTTCACAGGCTTTTAAAATACTAATTACACAAATTAAAAATCTTAACCAAGCAAACAACAAGTCAAGCAGGGGCTCTATTAAATCTATTCAAGCACACAAGTTAATACAAGACCCCATTTCTTGACAAAACAGAGAGATTGCTGGATGAATGTATTTTTTATAATCCAAAAGTTATATTTAGATTTCTTTTTTTCCTACTCTTAGTTATCAGCTTTCATTGTGGGTATTTTTTTCCATCAATACTAGCTTTTACTTTTCTGGTTAAAAGGTAGTATAAGAAATGAGAATGGTGATGAACAACTCAGTAATAGCAATCTTGTTTTCATTAATTCCTCCAGATTCAGGGATTCAAATTCAACAAACAGACTTGAGCAAGAATTGAAAGGATCTCAGCTCAGAGAGTCATAACATGTTCTTCTCATCTTTCCTATTCAGCAGACTTTTGAGTTGAATTAATGATGATTTGTGCTATCACTGATTTATTTTAGGAAGTGATCTATCTATCTATCTATCTATCTATCTATCTATCTATCTATCCATCTATCTATCTATCTATCATCACCAAAATGGCTTTCATTAGATGCCTTAATAAAGAGCTGAGGTGGTGCAGTAGTTAGAATGAGGTATTGCAGGCTAATTCTGCCAATTGTCAGCAGTTTGATCCTGACTGTTTTAGGTTGACTCAGCCTTCCATCCTTCCAAGGTCAGTAAAATATGCTGACTCTGTAAACTGCTTAGAGAGGACTTCAGAGCACCATGAAGTGGTATATGAGTCTAAGTGCTATTGCTTAACTACTCCAGAAACGGAATACAGATTAAAATAAGATAAACTTTAGTCCCTTGAAGTTTTAACTGGGAAATCTGGGATAGGATACTGATTGTAAAATTAGCAACATGCGAGGGGCACATGAAAGGTATTTACTTATATTCTGCATAGGTCATAGTTTTTTGGATAATTACTTCCTGGTGTAAAAAAATTCTCCAATTACTAACCGGTAGGACAAAAGAAATTGTGTAATTTTTTACTGTATTTTTTTTTTACTCTAATTCTCAAAGAAAATCTGAGCCTAAAAGAACTCAAAGAGCCTTCCTAACCTAGGGTTAAGCATTTCTCATCTCTTGCCTGATTTATTATCCCCGTCTCTTAGTTACACCCCCAGCTGGGTCAAAGTTTGTGCAGTCTCCATAGTTTAGCAAAGCCATAGTTGAAATAATGTAAAAAGAAACTTTCCCTACAATTTGTGATCCTAAGTCAGTGGTTCTCAACCTTTTTATACAGCGACCCCGGCCATAAGGACGCGGTGCGCATGCGTGGTGCGGCACGCATGCGCGGTGGTGCCCCCATGCGTGGTGCGCATGCGCGGCGGCGCCCCCATGTGCGGCACACATGTGCGGCGGCGCCCCGAGGGAAAAAATGGCAGATCGCGTTGTTTGGAGACCCCCGTAAAATGGTTGTTCGACCCCAAGTGGGGTCGCGACCCACAGGTTGAGAACCGCTGCCCTAAGTCAATCCTAAACATACTCAACCTGCTTATTTGCATGGATGATTACAAGAACTTAGCTATACAAAACACATTTAGGAGAAAGGTACCTGCCCCAGGTATGTTTGGGAAGTGTTTTTCACAGTTAAGCAAGTGTGCAAATAGTAAGCGAGAAATTAATTTTCTGGGAATCATTTGTTCTTGGTAGCAGGATAACTTTCACCAAAACATATACCTGACTCTACTGTGCATACCCTTATGCCTTCTCTAATTTTAACTTTTAAAATGTTTTTTCATCATTAACATTAACTGGTATTAGTATTTATATCTTAGTATCCTTGTATACTAGGATATGATATCTCATTTTTTGTCCTTACAGCACCCTGTTTTCTATACCTGCCTTGTTAAAAAAAATCTCTTTTTTCAACAAGTGCTATTTAATGAATTAGAAACTGAGGCAGGATTAGAAATTGATCATGCTAACCAAGTAGTAATCAATCATAGTTTAGCCCAACAAAAACACATTCTAATTCCTTTAGGTAGAAAATAGTTCTTATTTAAGAGCCTGTAGTTTTTTATTGCCCTTTACTCCACTGTAGAATATTTGGCCAAGCCAGCAATTATAGGAGGAGATAAGAAAATTTCAGCCTGTTTGGTATTATTGTGTAATGACCATGAAGAAATTGTCAGATTGTCAGCACCCCCACATTCGGAGTAACTAAAGCTAAATAAGAAGTTTCTTCCTGATTAAATCTCGGAAGAGATATTCCACAGTTCAAAAATAATGCAACTCTGGCTAGAATAGAAAGACAATAAACTCAGAGTTGGGGTGCTGCCTCCTGGGTGAAATGCAGTGTGCGGCTGAAGGAGAAGTGTGGGGCTATTGTCAGTAGTGCACAGCTTCCCAGAGAGGAAGCAGCATATTTCAGAAAGCTTATGATGACTCGACACCGCTAGCTGGAGATAGCCAGCAGGAGGAGGCCTTCTTGCCACCTCCGAGTCCTCATTGCTAGCTTGCTGCCACCATCTCTTTGCAGGACATTCCAACATTGTATATTTGTTATGGGGACAACTCATTGCGGGCACTGGATTGAGAGCAGGGAGGGCAGGCAGATGAAAATGGGAGAGAAAGGACAGATACTTTTGTACTGATCAATTCAACATTAGCAAAGACTGACCATTTCCTGATAATTAAAGCCAGACCTATTTCTTTCTAGCATTGGCAAATTCCTGCCAGCTGTCCCACTGCTGCTGAAAATGATGCTTTGATGGCCGATTTTGTTTGTTGCTACTCAGAAGAGCATCCATAACAGGGTCCTGAGAGATCAGATCCAATTGCTTTAATCAAGGGCATTGCAAAACCTCTAGCCACAAAGCCACAATGGACAGTAGTCTAATAACTGTTTCTTGAGAAGAGGTGGCTATTTTGTTTAGTAAATCTGAAAAGCTTAAT